TAGGGTAAAACAGGATTTGTCAAGGGCCTCAGATTTAGCCACACCCAATTATGACGAGCCATTCTATTTAGATGTTTCTGAGACAAACTCAATTATAAATGGAGTGTTGTTTCAGAAAAAAGGGGGGGGTAGAGAAGTGCTCATGTATGTTAGTGTAAAACTACATCCAACAGAAGCAAAGCATCCTACATGTACACAACATGCAGCAGGGGTTGCTAGAATTATCCAAAAAACAGCACATGTAGTGAGAGAACACCCACTAAAAATACTCACGACACATAGCATAGTGGCATACGTAAATTCACAAGCATTTTGTATGTCACCACGGGCACAACAGAGACTGAGCAAAGTCTTAGAAGCTCCAAATTTGACATTCACACATGAAGGAATTAATATGGCAGATTTAATGGGTGTAGGGGAACCACATGACTGCGCCAAAAGAGCACAGATCGAGGAAAAGATTAGAGAGGACCTGAAGGCCGAACCCATACCGGGAGCTGAGGATTGGTTCACCGATGGATGTTGCCACCGAGACGAAGGAGGACTGAAAGCAGGGTATGCGGTGGTCTGCAGAGTAGAAGGAGATTATCAGGTCAGAGAGTCAGGAAGGATTGAGGGAAAGCAGTCGGCCCAGAGAGCTGAAGTGATAGCCTTAGCTCGAGCTTTGAGACTAGCCAAGAACAGGAGAGTGAACATCTACACCGATTCGGCATATGCGTTTGGAGCAGCGCATGTGGAGCTGCCTCAGTGGAAAAGAGCAGGATTCAGAACAGCAACCAATGCACCTATCTCCCACATACATGAAATGGAGGAACTGGAAAAGGCCTTGGCTGACCCAGAGGAGGTGAGCATTATAAAATGCAAAGCTCACTCCCAAGGAACCAGTATGGTGGAAAAAGGAAACCAGAGAGCAGACGAAGCCGCAAAGGAGGCCGCAGGCTACAAAGGACAGAGACAAATGATACAGGTAACATCAGAAGAAGAGATACCTGTTGACCTGATTGAGGAAGTTAAACGGGCCCAGGAGGAGGCATCCCCAGAGGAAAAGGGGGTGTGGAAGAACAAAGGAGCCTGGCAGGATGGACATTTGTGGAGGGGGCCAGACGGGCGCCCCGTGCTGACAGCCAAAATGGCAGAACAGAAGGTGGATGAAGCCCACGGACTTGCCCACGTGGGGAGAGCCCAGATGGAAAGAAATTTGTGTCATTGGTGGCATCCTGAGCTGCGAGGAATGATAAGGGAGAAGGCCAGGATGTGCTTAATCTGTGGGGCACACAATCCTAAGCCAGCAGTAAAACCGGAAGTGGGTAAGTTTCGGCCCCCTGAGAGGCCGGGAGAGGAGATTGTTATTGATTTCACTGATATGATTGATTCCGGGCCGGGCGGTGTAAGATATTTGTTAGTGTGTGTTGACGTTTTGACCGGCTGGCCAGAGGCCTGGGCTACAAAAAAGGAGGATGCTAAGACTGTCATTAAGTGTTTAATCAATCATTACATTCCCCGTCATGGGTTCCCGAAAAGAATTAGATCAGATAATGGAACCCATTTTAAAAATCAAGATTTGGAAAAAGTAGAAAAAATGTTGGGCGTCCAGCATAAATTTGGAACGGTCTATCATCCTCAGTCTCAGGGGAAAGTAGAAAGAATGAACCTAAATTTGAAAAACAAATTGGCAAAAATCTGCGCGCAAACAGGGCTAAATTGGGTCGCAGCCCTGCCGGTTGCGTTGATGACCATAAGATGTTCTGTTAATCAATCCACAGGTTTTACACCATACGAGCTGCAAACCGGGAGACAGTTTCCAGCACCTTGGACGGTGGGCTCGGGTGAACGGGACAAAAAGGGGAACCGGTCCCACGCAGACTACTGGAACGAGCTAAAGGCGCTAGTGTCCAGTTTCACGAAACAGGCGGCTTGTAAGGGGCCCACAGGAGAAGGAGAGGTCCCGGACGCGAAAACAGTGTGGCTGAGAGTCATCAAACGAAAGTGGAAGGAGCCCCGCTGGACTGGTCCATATGAGGTATCGGCTCGGACGGCGACAGCGGTCCAACTGAAGGGGAAAGGCGACACCTGGTATCACTGGACGCAGTGCGCAGCTGCGCACGAGGGCTTGGTGAGGAAGGATCAATCTCAACTCGACGCAGGTGAAATTGAGCGGCACAATAATCCCTCACACCTGTGCAACGGACCGACCGGTAGTCTACCCGGAAGGTCAAAGAAAGAGGAGCAGGTGGGTCCGACCTCGTTAATGGGAGTGCAGAATAGAATGGCCCTTGACATGTTGTTAGCGGAAAAGGGGGGCGTATGTGCTATGTTTGCTGACCAGTGTTGCACCTTTATTCCAAACAATACTGCTCCAGATGGGTCGGTAACCAAGGCTCTGGAGGGCCTAAAGAGCCTTTCTGAAACTATGCATGATCACTCCGGTGTTGGTAATCCGTTAGAAGGCTGGCTGACCTCAGTGTTCGGACGGTGGAAGGGGGTCATCGCTTCGGTCATGTTTTCTTTGTCTATTGTGGTGGGTATTATGGTTATTTGTTGTTGTCTCATCCCTTGTGCCAGACGAAGGTTCAAAAGTATGTCTGTGAAGGCAGTGGACCCTGGAGTCATTACTCCAATATCCATGATGCCAATGATGCATGTGGAGCTGAATGTGTAGGCCAAGGAGGGACACAACTGTTTGTGACCTCTGGATTCTCCAGAGGTCAACAGAGGGAATTGTAGAATAAGGAGGGGATGTTTTTCTCATTATCATTTAATATTTTAATATGCCATTATTAGTTCATTAGAAGTATATAACCAGCTTTGCATTAAGCATAAATTGAAGTTTTTGATCTTATATTATTCTTTGCATTACAGTGATGGTGATAACTTTAATTTGATCTTTCTTACAGGTATCAGAATAATAACATGATTTTCCATTGCAGATGTAACCATGATCATTCCACACACATTGCAGTTTGTTGCTCATTTTAGAGTTGTGCTCAAGGTAATTAAAGGTTAAAAGCTACAGCCAGTGCGAGTCTGGCTGATCTATGGAGGGCAAAGGCTTTGAGCTTGGAAGGCCGCACGCGCTTACACAGCACTTATAAGATGTCATTCTTGGTGATTTTGTGCTTAGTCATGTTTTAATATGTTTTAAGTAGAAGTAGCTGATCCAGCAATATTCATTTAATATTATATACTTGATTTAGAGCAATACACACTAATGGTCTTAATAAATGAAAGAGTCCTTGTAGCTGCCATGTTGTGTCTCAGCAGGGTACAGACGGTTCCAGGAGAAGGGGGGCAGTTAGCGTCTGCCCTCGGGAAGGAGACAATGTTATTCTTTGTGTTAAATAAAATTGTCAACATTGATTGTATTACACCTGTCACTACGCATGAGGGGGCGTTCTAATACCCTGATTTCATAAAACTATGGAAATGTGTTTTTTGAGATGAGATCTGAGGCTGTCTGCATACAGTGTCCATCTCCCACGTGTGTGATCATTAAATCATCGTTTGACTCAACCCGACCGGACCAGTGTTGTTATTGTGGGTTTTTCCTCTGGTGTCCATCTCCAATATTTTTGAACCATAACATTTACCAAAGTCTTTCATTGAACTACCAAATAAACAAACTGGTACTCTCTTTCTGGCCAGACACGTGGCAGCACTTCTGCTATACTTTTGTATGTGTCACGGTTCTGGGTCCGTTGGACCCAGTATTTTGAGTTTATTATATTTCGGTTTAATTCTGCTTCATGGATTGTTTTCTTATTCTCGTAGTGATGATGATTATTTCTTGTTTCTGTTTATCCGTGCTTAAGGATTTGTTCTCAGTTATATCTCACGTTTAGTTTAGTTCAGGTTCCATGTGTCATTCTCTGTCTGTCTCTCAGTGTAAAGTCTGCATGCTTGTTTAGTAATTCATGTGTCCTGTTTTATTGTGAAAGTCTTTGTCTTATGTTAGTGTGTGCAGCTTGGTTCCCCCCGTCTCGTTAACCCTGATCTCTCCCAGCTGTGTCTCCCTCCTGTTGCCCATTCGCTGATTACCACCCTGTGTATATTAGCCCTGTGTTTTCCTGTGCTCAGTGTCGCGTCGTACCCTCAGACCCTGCCTGTGTGTTCCTGCTTGGTTTGGGTTCTGTTTTTGTTTCATGTCAGCAATAAAAGCTGTGGTTTTAGTTACATTTCGTCTCGGAGTCCTGCATTTGGATTCACATTTCCACCTGCCCGCACACAGAGCCCTGACAGAATGTATTTAACAAACTAAAAATCCAGACATAAGTATACACATTAGTTTTTGACTGCTAGTGAAAACTGTTTTCTTTACAAATAACTCTCACCGAACTAGCACGACCAATCCCTCAACGTGTTTGTACTCTCTGCTCAATATGCCTTCATATTAAATATTTCTTTTGCTTTTTAAAGAACTTATTTTAACATTGCACTAAACAACAAAACAAATCCTCCCTAACAAAAAAAGTAACTTCAAGGGCCAAATTGCATCATATTTCTTCACGTCAATATGCCCAGGCCGCAAGTTTGAGACCCCTGGTCTATGTGTTTGTTAGCAGTATAGTGTCCTCAGTTTTTGAGATATCATTTTCAAATTTTTTGTCATGGTGGATATCAATAACAGCCAGAGCTGATTTAATTTAGGTGAAAATCGGGTTAAGGTTGCATAAAATATTAAAATATTAAAATCCATAAAAACTTCATTTTACCTTCATCTTACCTACAATTTTTAATGGATCATCTTGAAACTTCACAACAATATTCTAGGCCTTAAGTACCATTGTCGTTTTTAAACCAGTGCACACAATATAGCCAACAATGGCTGTTTTGTACAAGCAAGTGCTAGGAAAAAAAAAAAGTCAAAGTAATTTAGTGTAGCACTGAATTTGAGATGCCACATCATTATATCATCACCAGACTGTGAATTTATCACTGAATTTTTCAACAAAACCACAAAGAAACAAAATAAGTAAATCTCAACAGCAAATACAAGGACTCACTCTGTTTGGACAAACTCTGAAGGTTCTTCAGCTCTTTGGTGGTTTCAGTGAGGTTGGCCTGCAGAAGGTCTCTCTCCTCAGTCATGGAGGAAAGCTTGTTACTCACAGCAGAGAGATTTGCCTTAAGAAGGTCTCTCTCTTCAGTTATAGCAGAAAGCTTGTTAGACTCAGCAGAGAGATTTGTAGCTGAGACATGATCTGAAATAAATCAAAATGAATGATTTCACTCATAATTGAACTGCTTTCTCATAAATCTAAATTTAAATATTTCAAAATGTTACCAGAAGACAATGAAAGATGTTCATAAAATAAATGGTTTAAAGCTTAAGTGTTTTCCAAGTGCTATTAAACAGACAAGGAATTTTGAACACAGCTTTTCCAAAACATCCTGCTTACATTATTTTACTTTGCAAACAGAAACAAAATAATTTTGCAAAAAAATAAATTTACCATGGTCAAAATGATTAGCCCCCTGGGACTAATAGTCAATTGTGTATTCTCCTTGCTGAATAACGGCCTGCAGCCATTTGTTGCAGTCTTCAATAAGTCTCTTACACGTCTCCTGACTAATCCCAGCTGATTCTTGTTAGGCAGCTACTTCTGGCATGGACCTTGGTTTTCAGTTCACCACATATTTTAAATGGGATTCAAGTCAGAGCTTTTTGCAGACCAGTCAGCAACGTGCACTTTAGTTGTCTGGCGATTGTTCTTCACTCAGAGCAATGCATGTTTTGGATTGTTGTCATGTTCAAAGATGAAGTCATGACACAGACCCAGTTGTGTTTCTGACTGCTTGAGGTTTTATTTGAAAATCTTTACGTAGGCTATTTTCTTCATGATTCCTTCCACCTGACAGGATCCCCAGTTAGAGATGTGTTTATGCATAATGCTCCCACCACTGTGATTCTCTGTCTGGACATATTGTTTGAGTTGTAAGCTAATAATTTTGTCCTCATCTGTATTCCGTGTCATATCCTGTATGTATCTTTGGGAAAATGAGAGTAAAAAATTGCTTTACTGTGAATGAGGAACTATTGTTTTTGTGTTCTTTAAATGTTTTGGATCAGTGAGACTTCTTAAGTTCAAAGCTTGTGTAATTTGTCAAATTAGTTATAGATCGGGCTGATGCCATTCTACTTTTTTTTTTTTAATGTGGGCTGATTAGTGTTTGAGTGATCATTTATGAAAAACCAAACTCACAGTAAACACCGAGGGTGATGAGTCCAATCAGCAGGAAAACACTCAGCATTCCCAGACAGATAATAATTCCTAAATGGGAACTCCTATCACAGCCGCTTGTTCCTTAAAATAGAAATGAACACAGAAACATTCAAGCTGTACAACAGTAATAGATGTTAAAATACATTTTCTTTTCTGTCACTTCTTTCTTACCTGTGTGACCTGGTGAAGGTTTTGAATTGTTATGCTTGGGGTATTCAACATTGACATAAATTTCCTCCATGGTTCAGATGCAGATTATTACTTAGAGCTCAGCTCTGCAGCACAGGACAGATGAACTGTTTGAACACTGTCAGTTTCCTTTGAGGAAGTCACACATTTCAGATATTAATACTTTCACATAACACTATACAAGCACTGAAATGTGAAAAGACAAAAAGTCAAACATCTCTTTGGTTTAGTATTCATTGCTGTGGTTTATTCTTGCGAAAGATGTAAGGGGGCATTTAGTTTTTCACAGAGGTGCAAAGAGTCCTATTCAAACCCTGTTGTTTGTGTCACTATTGGTCTTACGTACTTTAAAACAAAAATGCATATGTTACGTCCCTCTGCAGCCTCTAATCTGCTCAGTGTGTTCAGCTGGTGCTAATTGGCCACACCTAGTCAGGTGTGGATAAAAGCATACCTGAGGCAAGCTTCCCAGGGAGCTCACTTGTCTTTGCCTTGGTGGCATCAGCCATTTTAGCCAACCTGGTTTTCCATTTTAAGATAAAACCTCTTCTCACCCATACTCTGGTATTCGTCTCCTTTTTTATGTTGCGGCTTTTGAGCCGGGTCGTAACAGCATATAATATAAAGTAGATATCTAGATTATCAATCACTCTTGCTAAAATACTTATAATAAAAATGTTGTCCACCATATATCTGCATGGTATTGTTTTCAAAAAGAAAGGGCAGCAGTCTACACCTTTTATAACTGTGACTCAAACTAACGTTTTAGAATGAAGTGTAAATTTATTTCTTCAAAACACAAATTTGCATTAGACTTGTTCCTTTTCACATTTCATTGCTGGTATATTTTTGTGCGAATATAAAGGCTAAATTGTGACTTCCTCAAACTCTCCAAATAAACTAACACGAGTGATATGATTTGCATGTTCTCTGCTGCAGAGCTGAGCTCTGAGATATAATTTGCATCCTTATGAGCCATGAAGGAAATAGATGTCAATGTTGAATGGGCCAAACCTAATAATCATTAAATACCACAGGTATGAAAGAACTGAAAGAGAAGCAAACAGATGTATGTCAACATGTTAGTAACAAAATGCCAACTCAACACTCAAAAATGTTTAAAATGCTGATACTAAAACTGGAGTCAGTTTCCTTTGTCAAGTTATGAGGAAGTCAGTTTCTAAAATGATAATGGATATTTTACTGTTTAATTTTGGTCATTAAAAATTAACAGTTCCTCTTGTGTTATTTATTTATTTTTTACATCATGAGGAAGTCACACATGTTCACAACAACATCAACAAGAATGTTCGGAGGTAGATGCTACCTAATTCATTTTTTACAAATTTTGTTATTGAAGTGTTTATTTATTAATAATGTTAATAATCTCTGATTACAGTTGAAAAATCCTATTCTGTGGGGGCAGGGAGCACTGTTTGTATAGTCCCTCATTAAGACCAGGCTGAACACTGTTAATTCTCACCTATCTGTCAGCTTTTCTACCTATAACTAATAAATAAATACTGCAAGTGTGACACTTATTTGTGCAACATGTACCAGTTGTTGAATTTAGTGTCACTTTCACACACAAAGTACTAAAATACATGGGATTTACTTTACCAAGATTAGCGACAGAGCAGGCGTGACTGTGACCGTTGCTGCTATGATGGTTATTTAGAAAGCGTAAATGGCGAGAATGACCAATAGTTTTACGCACAGTGCCAGAGGTTTGTGGTTCATTCCTAAAACAGCATTTCACTGACCTTATTGAGAACAAAATGCCAAATATTTCTGGCAGAAATACACACACATACATATTGTTGCACAGAGTTTATTTAAATTTAAATTTAAAATCAAAGGAGCTACTGCACTGTTTTATTATCTGAAAGGTTGGACTCTTTTTTTTGTGGGACAGGCACTGTATCTGTTGTAGCATTTGGAGTGTCCACATAACAGCTTTCGGGAAGACACACAAACTCAAAGTCTAAGTTTTCAGATTTTATTATTTAGTGGTTGGAATCTCAAGTTAATAATTTAATTTCTAGAATTTCAACTGTCCAGCACTCCAGACAAAGAAAAGAAGGGGCCACTCCCTAGTGTGCAGGGTCATCTTCCTGTTTGTGTATGTTAGTGTCTGTGTGAAGTCTACTTTCAATACTCTCTTCTCCTTGACTCTGACTTGATGAGTGATGAAATATTTCTCCCTCTGAAAATGCTATGTCCAGATGAACAGAATCAACTTTTTAGGGGGGATTTCCTTACTTGCATGCATCAAGACAATTTGCATTTGAATTTAAATTTAAATTTTCAGTTTTGAATGAAAAACAACATGACAGTGCCATGTTTTCATGTTCAGAAGCATTATTCAGCAATAACCACAGAATGCAAACATCACTTTTTGTTTTCTGCTGTATCTCGCTTCAGTGTGCACAACCTCTATTTGTATCTCTACTTTTAGGATTAGGCTTTAAACTTTACTTTTTGCTAAAGCATATAGTTAGGGCTGGATCAGGTGACCCTGAATCCTCCCTTAGTTATAGTTAGGCAGTTTAGGCAGCTGGGGGATTCCCATGAGCATTCAGTATTTCTTCTTCAGTCACCATGTGTTACTACACCTTTCTGCACTGAAATATACTTGTTATTAATTCTGGCTCTCTTCCACAGCATGTCTTCTATACTGTCTTCCTTCTGTCACCTCAACCGGTCGCAGCAGATGGCTGCCCCTCCCTGAGCCTGGTTCTGCCGGAGGTTTCTTCCTGTTAAAAGGGAGTTTTTCTTTCCCACTGTCGCCAAAGTGCTTGCCCATAGGAGATGATATGTTTGTTGGGCTTTTCTCTGTATGTATTATTCTAGGGACTATCTTACAATAAAAAGCATCTTGAGGCAACTGTTGTTTTTGATTTGGCACTATATAAATAAAACTGAATTGAATTGAATACTTATAGAGCCCCTGATCAACACAAGGGGCTCTGAAGGGCCTCTCTCTCTAATGTCTAATGGTGTGTGCGAGTGTAGCAATCTACTTGTAAAACTACCAAAAATACTCTTAATACTTAAGAGTGGAGACTATTATTAGCATCACAGCAGATTCTTTTCTCACACATAGGTAATTATTCAAAATTAAGTTCCACCAGTCTCAGAAATAACCCCCACATCTGGTTTGAGATCTATGAGGAAGTCTGTGTGCAAGAACATTATTTTTCTGTATTTAATTTTCTTCTGAATTGTATGTATTTTGAGCCCATTCTCACTCTGACCACATAATATAGCCACGATTTTTCACGTCCCAAGGTGTTCCTCAGGAACATAAAGGTAACCTTCCGTGTCCTAGATGGAATCCAATAGATTCACGCTCCCGGCGGTAATACACGTTCAAGACGTGTATTCCCACCTTAACCCTAACCGTATTTCTAACCATAACCTTATCCCTAACCTTAACTACCACCTTAATCGTGTTAGATAATGTTTTCCAAAGTGATTACAGTAAAATAAACGTACATGTGTAGATTAATTCCAAATGGAACTACAAAATATACTCCAAGGATACAGTAATGGAAACACGGCCAAATTTCAGTTTGAGTGGATTTGTTATGATGTGATGTTTGTTATGATGTGCTATAATTTGAATGAATTTCTATGGATTTGGTTGGATTTGTTATGATTTGAATTGATATCCAGGGATTTGTTTGGATTTGAATCATTTGAGTGGATTTATTATGATGTGTTATGATTTGAATCGATACAAATACATATGTATGACATATTTAATTCATTATTGACACATTTAATTTTATTTATTTCATTTTGGCAGTCCTGGCCCTAGGGTTCAGGACTGCTAAAATGAATGAATTAAATACACCATTAAACATGTTTAGTTATAAAGGGCACCTTTACTCTCATTCATGAGCAGTATTAGTTTTATTCTAATATCCAGAAGTCTGCACGATGTGTTTCATAGTTTCTAACAAGCCTTTGACAGTTAAATGTAACATCACTGAAACACCAACATAAAAAAAACACCTCTCACAAATCAGATGTTAACCTCATGTATTTTTATTTTAGTAAACTTTGATAATTCTAACAGACAGCTGGTGCTGAGAATACAGCTGAATAACTATTAAAAACAGACGATGTAATATTTCTGGACAGGCTGAAATCTTTCAGTATCCACGCTGCTCCTCTTGGTGGAAATACGCCTTCTCTTTCCTCTTTGTATAAAAAAAGATTTTTAATATTAGTTTTAACTCGAAATTCAGAGTTTAAAAAAAAAAAAAATCACACATATGAATGCCATATAGAGAAAAGCGAATGGTTCAGTCTAACCTGCTCCAGTGAGACATTAAACTTTGCAGCTATGACACGTAACTTTAATCTGAGCCAAATCAATTTGCTCAGTTGTAAATAAAACAGTGAAGTAAACATGACCCGAAAGAAAGAACCTGAGTGAATTAAGTCCAGTGTTTAACCACTGAGAGCTAAAACTCAGTGGAGGTTTTAAAGCTGCGTGCAGGTGACTGGCTATTAGCCACTAATAAAGTGCTCTGTAGTTTTCTAGGTGTCCATCGCTCTCTGTTTAAATCCCGTTTGTCACCTTTATCCCAGGTCAGTCACTCTGATGGAAACACAAGCTCCAGCAGCCCTGAACTCAGGAAGAAAAAAAAAACTACATTTATCCACATAGCAAGCAGGTCTGGCCCAGATCTGGTATCAAGCCGGCACTGCTGGCTGACTTCTGGTATGATAAGACATATGTCATCTAGATATGGGCCAGGCCTGGCGTACATGGCACCGTTTACTGTATGTGATGGCATGCCATATCTGGCTCGATTGTTTGTGTTTGGTTTATGTGGCCCAGGCCCATAGAAAACAGGTCTTCCCTGACTGACCGGTGTCATGGCAGAGTGTATGCCAACCAGATGTGGGCCAGGTCTGGCAATGATGGCACTATTTACGTTCATATTTTCCAATTTTAGTTAGAAGACCCAAATGCCATGATACAATGCTATACTGCTATGGTAGCCAACGTTTTAAATGCAGCTTTGACAGGTTTGTGAGTGTACACTTTATCCAAAACTTAGTGCGGGTTTACTCAGATTTACCACTGGGT